GCCCAAGGCCCCCGTGGGGTGGGCCTGGCCCTCACTGCCCTCGGACACCTCCCTGTGAGACATGCTCTTCTGCCCAGGCCGTGCTGTCCTCCCTGTGGGGTGTTTCCACTCTTTCAGCATGAGAATAGCTGCAGGTTATGTGATTTCACCTCCACCAGGTGGCATCAGTGGGCATCAGTCAGAGGTAAGCGTTCTAGAGGTCCCCTTGATCCCCTCTTCCCCCACACCTGGTTATTAGATTTCCCAATTCTGCCAACCTATGAAGTCTTGGCTAAAACGAACACTATTTCAGGGTCCCGCCAATGGTTTGAGTCAATGTGCCCCTTCTCCCTTAGGGTGCTTTGGGCTGGGGGTTGGTGCTGGCTGCCGGAGAGATGCCCATAAACCAGTAATAAGAACTTCAGTGTACCTTAAAGTCAAACTGTATGTCCATGTATTTTCCAAATCTGCTGGAGTTGTCATTCCGGAGAGTTTTCGCATTTCCGAAAGCCTTGGAATACAAAGTGGGGGAGGGGGCAAGACTGAGCCATACTGTTATTTCAGCTCACTGTGCTTGTCACATTCCTGACCCCAAATGACATGTTTATGATGAAAGCAGAGGAGGAAGGTGGGAGCCAGAATGAAAGACATCATTTATCTTCTAAGAAGGAATCACTAAGATTTGATGACAAATACTATGCTTGGAACCAGAAAAAAAGGAGCATCTTCTCCCTGGAAATACAATCTAGGAATAGAAATGGCCCACAACAGGTAGGACCTGAGCTCTTGCTGCCCTAGAAGGTACAGCTGGCCACCCCCCTCCCCTTCTGGCATAATAGAAACAGTTTTGAAACGACATAGTATGCAGGCAGCAGACCCTTGTGATGTGTATTAGCTCAGTTACGCAGCCCCAAAGTTCTACTGGGGAAATCCCTGCAACCATAAACATTGTTGGGGACTGCCCCCAGCTATCGAGCTGTGGGGAGGAGAGACAGGCAGGGCCCTAAGGTGGGAAGGCATCTGTGAGCGGAGATTCCAAGAAGGGAAAAGGGGAGCGGGCGTGAGGAAGACACGGGAGTCAGAGTTGGGTGTAAGTCTTCCTGCTCATTCCCTCAGAAGGTCTTTATTTATACTGTGTAGTGAGTAGTTAATTAGATAATGTATAGGGTAAGTTAATGAGAGCGCCACATATTGTCATAAAACATTCTAAAGGAAAAAAGGGGAATTTTTTTTCTAACATTTTATGGTATACTAAATTATACATATTTGTAATAATTGTCATGTATACAGATGTTTAACTACAACTCAAGGAAGAGGGGTCTGGGAAAGGATGAGCTATTAGCAAAAAATTATTAGGGGCCTTAAGGTGTGTTAGCAGTTATCAGTGATTGTCTAAAGAAAAGTTAATGGCTAATTTAAGGCTAGCAGAGAGTAGTGTTTAAGAAAAGGGTAATTTAAGGCTAGCAGAGAGTAGTTGATTATTTTATAAAGGAGTACATTAAGAAAAACTTGTACAGTCGTGTATTAAGCAACACCTGTGTAAACAAGGTTAAAAAATTGTCCATGAGTCCTTATGCCCTGGGAATCTTATGAGATTTGCTTTTTCATTTAAAAAAAAAAACAAACAAAAAACAAGGAAGCTTCCCAGGAGTTCTTATGCCCTGGGGGTCTTCTCTCTCCTGGGGCTTGCCTTTTTGTCTCCAGAGACAGAAGAATTTCCCTCCCTGGGGCAGCTTGCCTGGGCCAGGCAGCTGCCTTATGAGGCTAAGGCAATCCAGTTGTAAACTGATGGTTGCTCAGAATATTTTGGTATTATGATTATACAAAAAAGGGAGGTCATAACCTAAGTTAGCAATGGAAATTCTGATTTTTCAGAGTGTTTCCCTTCTATCTGGAATTTGTCGGTTGATAGAAGTTACATAGCTTGTGTCACATCTTTTGCAGACAAGATGATAAAAACACAGAAGAAAATTACTTGTTTAAAATTAACCAGCAGGGCCTCCCTGGTGGTCTAGGGCTTAAATCTCAGCACTATCACCACTACAGTGAGTTCAATCCCCGGCCAGGGAGCTGACCCACATGGCACGGCAGACCTCCCCTGTCTCGCCTGCTGCTCCCCTCAGCTGTGTATTTCAGTAGAGCCTCCTGTTCTGCTCCCCACTGTCTCTGGTGAATCCTCTCATTCCCTGCACTTCTGGCCTACATGTACCCAGATCTTCTATATAATAACTCTTAAAAAAAAAATCAACCAGGGTGCTACTTACATATGGGGTGGCAGTTCAAAGAAATTGACTCCTTGATTAAAAGCATTTCTTTTAAGAACAGTGAATTACAATAGTAGGAAAAAAATCAACATGATTTTAATACAAAATATTAATAACCAGATTATTGTTTTAGCCCTTACTAACTCTGCTATGTGCTTTTTGTGCATTCATCTCATTTATGCCTCGAAAACCTCCCATAAACCTCGATGAGCAGACCCAGATGGGGCCTGGGTTCTGGGATCTGGAGTAACTTGCTGAAACCTGCTGGTGCATGACTACCCTGTGATTAGCTTCCATGGCAGCTGAAGTCCAAGGCCATGTCCTTAACCACAGTACTACAAGGGACCCTTCTTCTTAACTGAGTCAGTGACATGCCCATCAGTGGGCTCTCCTTGCTTAGTGGTCCAGGCCTCCCCTCCCTGGAAGCTCACAGAGGCCTTTACCTCCAGCACCGGAGTGGACAGCAGCAGTTTGTCACGGGCTATCTGCAGGGACTCGGTCATTGGGCAGGTTGCTGCAAAATACTGGAGAATCTTCTTGGACGCCTCTGTTTTCCCTGCCCCACTCTCTCCAGAAATGAGGATGAAGTGGTTATTTAGCTCAGAACACATCATGCGGTAGGCGTTGTCAGCTATGGCGTAGCTGTGGGGG